TCAATTTTGGATTGCAGCAGTTCATAAAAACTCCCAATTTCTTCTTTTTTGGCATTCATCATTGCTGCAAACATTTGAATAACAAAGAAATAATGAAGTAAAAAGGCTGAACAGAAGATTTCAAAGGGTGGTTTGAGAAGACAAAGTAAAGTATTATAATAAAATGTTATAATAAAATGTGCAAATATCTGAAGTTAGAAAACAAAAAGGGAATAATATGATAGGAATTTCTCAAGCTGAAAGAACTGAAGAGAAAATTCAAGACATGGTTTGCAATATTGATGGATTCTGTGGGCAAAAGAACTGAATGATGCAGAAGCATCCAAAGAAGATGGAAGGGATACACAAAATCTCTGTATTAAAAAGAATTGGTTGATGTTCAACCATTTCAAGAGGTAGCAGAACCACTGGTACTGAAGGAAGAAGTACAAGACTTGCTGAAGGCATTGACAAAAAACAAGGCTCCAGGAATTGATGTAATACCAATTGTGATGCTTCAACAAACAGATGCAATGCTAGAAGAACTTACTGGTCTCTGTCAAGAAATTTGGAAGACAACTACATGGCCAACTGACTGGAAGATATCCATATTCATGCCCATTCCAAAGACAGACAATCAAACAGAATGCAGAAACTATCAAACAATACAATTAATATCACATACTTGCAAAATTTTTCTGAAGATAATTCAAAAACAGCTATAGTCTTACATCAACAGCCAGAAGTTCAAGACAGAGTCAAAAGAGGATGTGGAACAAGGGATATCTTTATTAATGTCAGGTGGATCTCGGCTGAAAGCAGAGAATATCAGAAAGATGTTTACCTGTGTTGTATGGACTATGCAAAGGCATTCAACAGTGTGGATCACAATAAATTATGGATAACATTGCAAAGAATGGGAATTCCAGAACACTTAAGTGTGCTGATGTGGAAATTGTACATGGATCAAGAGGCAGTCATTCAAACATAACAACGGGATACTGCATGGTTTAAAAATGGAAAAGGTGTACAGCAGGATTGTATTCTTTTACCTTACCTATTCAATCTTTGTTGAGCAAATAATCCAAGAAGCTGAACTATATGATGGGGAGTGCGGGATCAAGACTGGTTTGAAGACTCATTAAAAACCTGAGATACACAGGTGACCCAACCTTGCTTGCTCAAAGTGAAGAGGACTTGAAGCACTTAATGATGAAAGTCAGAGACTACAGCTTTCGGTATGGATTACTCCTCGATGTAAATAAAAGGAAAATCCATACAACTGGACCGATCAACAACATCATGATAAATGGCAAAGAAATTGATGTTGTCAAGAATTTCATTCTTCCTGGATCAGCAATAAATGACCATGAAGACAGCAATCAAAAAATCAAATGACGTATTGCACTGGGAAAATCTGCTTTAAAAGAATTTGTTAAAGTGTTAAAAAGAAAAAATGTCTATTTGGCAATTATGGTGCACCTGACCAGGCTATGATATTTTCAATCACCTCAAATGCATTTGCAAGCTGGATGATGAAAAAGGAAGACCTAAGAAGAACTAACGCATTTTGAATTGTGCTGTTGGCAAAGCATGTTGAATATACCATGGATTTCCAGAAGGACAAACAAATTTGTCTTGGAGAATGTACAACCAGAAGACATCTTAAAAGCAACGATTGCTTTCTTTGGACACGTCATCAGGAGGGATGCTAGAGAAAGACATCATGTTTGATAAAGTAGATGGTCAGTGAGAAAGAGGGAAACCCTCAGCGAGATCAATTGAATAAGTCACTGCAACAATGGGCTCCAACATACCAAAGATTGTTAGGATGGTGCAGGACCAGGCAGTGTTTCATTCTGTTATAGGCAACCAACTTGACGAACCCAACAACAACAACATGAAGTCACAGAAATTATAAAATCTGTACTTTTTAAATATATAGGCCATTTTGTGAACAATATTATTTTAGCAAGTTATATCATAGCAGGATATGAGATCTTGATTAAAATTCACTTAGTGTGTTATCTGACTGAATGTACTTAAAAGAAATCTTTGACATGTTGATTAGATTAAACTGATTTAATCTCAGCTGAAACTTAAATTCAGCGTTAGCCATGGATAATTACTGTCAGAAAGGGTATGTTCTAGCTATTCATTTACATAATATGAGCTTTCTTTTGGATTGCATATGAGTTAATTATATTTTTTTTAATTGTAGCAGCTACATGTAATACTCAGCATCTTGCTACTGTAAAATATTCATTAACTTTTAGAAAATGGCCAATATTCTAACACCGATATCTGCATTGGAGCATAGACTTTAGAGCAAGGGTTTAGAGAAGAAAACCTGGTAAAGACACTCAGTGGCTTAGATATACCAGATCAAACCACGTCTTACAGAGCAACGATCCCTCCAAAAAGGGGAAACGTCAGTGCGTTAGTTACTGCCTTAGCCTTTTACAAAAATGTAAAATGGTCAGATTCTCTTGATAAAACTTTAATTCATTCACTGATAATAAGAAAATACAAGATATGTAAGTCAAAGTATTGTGGTATAATTACAGCCCCATATAAGACACATAAAATGTTTTATCTACAGTTTGTATAAGCCTTGGAATAAAGACGGGGAGGCAGAAAAAGATTTTCCACATTGAAAACAGCGGAAATCATATGATTTTGGTCTTTCTTTTTAAATGTATTATATTAAACATTAAAGAAGCAGTAACAACAGTTTGCACAATATCATATAACCCTAGGTAGTTAGCTGTATCTGTTTATCATACCTTTTTTTAGTCTCTTCCAAATGCTTGCATAATTTTATTTGGTTTTAATCATAACATAAACTTTTCATCTTTTCCATTTAACAGAATTTTGTTGTTAGTAATCTAGTCTGTTTCATAGCACTGTGATTATTTTTATTTCTAATTATAACTTAGTATTTCATTAAGTCAGTGGTCTTCAAAGTGTAGTCTCTGAAGCAGTAGTATCTCCATCATCTGTCAACTTATTAGAAATATAAGTTTTTTGATGCATTCCAGACCTCCTGACCAGAAACTCTGAAGACGGGGCATAAGGATCTGTGTTTTAACAAATCCTTCAGGTCAATATAATGCAAGCTAAAATTGGGGCACTACTACATTAAATATATTTTCCAAAATCTACTAAAGCACTTCAAAGAGTTATTATGGAATACTTTAAATAAGACTACATTGGGAAGTTTTGTTCAAAAAATTGTATATTCTCTTTTTTGTTTTAAATTTTATAGAAGACTTTCTCAATAATTGGAATGAGATCAAAAATACAAGTATCTTAAAACTATTTTTCAATAATATTTATTCCAATTTAACTCACTATCAAAAATATAAATTTAACTAAACATTGATTTTTTTTTGCTAATTATTTTGATAATTTATAATTCATTTGAAATAAAAGCATAGATATACAAATAAAATTACTGCGTGGATTTCACTTTAAGAAAATATATTCTTTAAATATTGTTTCTTTTACATATTTCTGTCCTTGTAAAATCCATTTCTGAAGAGAAAGTAATAGTAATAACTAACACTGCTTTTGTTCCTCTTCTATATTTGAGAAAACTGCATAACAGATGTATTAGGTATTCACCCAAGTTCCTGATCCTGCAGTTGGTGAAGCTATGATTTAAACTATCAGAATCCATATTCTTAATCATGATGATACTATCATGAAAAGAGGTGGCTTAAAACTAGTGTGATGAAAATAAACACTAAATATATAAGAAAATTACTATAATTTAAATTTATGATTTCTTGAAGTTTTCCTTTATTTTTCTCTTTTATGCTATATAAAACCAAAAAACCCATTGCCGCTGAGTCAATTCCGACTATGGCGACCCTACAGGACAGAGTAGAACTTCCCCAGAGAGTTTCCAAGAAGCGGATGTTGGATTCGAACTGCCGACCTTTTGGTTAGCAGCCAAGCTCTTAACCAATGTGCCACAAGGGCCCCAATAGTACCATATAGGTGTCATTAATAGTATATGTATATTTTGTAGAAGGAAATACTGCCTCTATATGCTGGAAGACTTTTTAGATCAGAAAAAAGTAATGCAGTTAATGCTCTCTGAAAATACAGGTTAATCTTTTTTTAGACTTATTTCTAAATGAAACACATTCACTTCAGTGTTCATTTTACCACCATATTTCAAATTCCAGTCCAGTAAGTTCTCAAAGAAGAAATGTCAAATATATCTGGAAAACCAAAAGGGAATGGCATTGCTTAGTTCTCTCTTAGCCTGAGACCACTGGATCATGCCAATAGACATTGTTAGACTCTATAAGTAACCAGGAAAGCAAAATCTTCACGGCTTGTCGTTTTAGTCATGAAATGCATCGGTGATTGTCAAGTGGCAAAGGTCAAGATAATAATGGGTCATCATTCAGAACCTACCAAGAAGTTTTCAGGACACAATTATTCTATTTTTATATTTCCCCTCATTTGCACCTTATATTTATACATCACCTCTATTCATCCCGATATCTCTTGATGTAAGATTTGACATTTATTAAGCACTTAATATGTGCCAGGGATAACTCAAAATGCTCTCTGTAGATTGTTACATGTAATATTTATTACAATTCCAGGAGATGGTTAATACAAGGATCTCCATGTTACGTATGGGGTAATCGGGCACAGAGAAGTAATTTCCAAAGACATAAAGCTAGCAAGAAGTAGAGCAAGGATCTGAACTCAGGCAGCTTAACTCTAGAGACATTGCTTTTAAGTATCACATTACTCCTTGGGGCTGAAGTGACAGAAGAGGACTCAGGTGAGGAGGAAAAGAGGGGAAATGCTGGGTGAGTGCATTTTGAAAAAGTTCACCTGAGGCCTCTGCAACAAGCCCTCCATCCACTGAAAACAACTGAACCCTAATCATACTATAATTCTCTCAGGACTTTCATTATTATTATCTGATACTCTGAAATGCATGTATTATTTGGACAGATGAATCCAAATGATTTTCTATTCTTTATCTTCAGGATTCCTGATTCAGGATGGCCCTTTTGGATCTTGTGAAAACAAGTACTGTGGTTTGGGGAGGCACTGTGTTATCAGCAGAGAGTTGGGACAAGCAGAATGCGCCTGCATGGAGCTTTGCAAACGGCACTACAAGCCTGTGTGTGGATCTGACGGACAGTTTTATGAGAACCACTGTGAGGTGCACAGAGCTGCCTGCCTGAAAAAACAGAAGATCACCATCGTTCACAACGAAGACTGCTTCTTCAGAGGTGAGTGCAGAGGGGCCCTACCGTGTCGTTCTCCCCCATTTCTTCCCGTCTCAGTTAGTGTCTTTCAGTTAAACTCCAGCATGATTTTATATGCGCAAGTGTCCAGAAGGTAAAGAGAGAAATGTGAGCCTAATTACACCAATAAATACAAGTATATAGCAATTTACATGGCTACAATTATGATGTTCAGTTATGAGAATAAAGCTGGCCAAAATACGACTCAGTATTTACTATAGCTTGCAGCATTGTACCATATGGCTTAGGGATACAGAGTGGCCAATTCCCTTAACAGGCCAAATCCACCCAGCGAAAAGCACCTGGAGTGGAATTGAGGGAGTAGGGAATGCCAGGCCCTGCTGTGATAACGTCCCATTTCTTCCTGATTAAAAATGGTGATTTCAGTTTGTAGCACATAACTCAAATTACATGCAACCCAAGAATATCTAATGGAATAATTAACTATGAAGAACTCATGTTAAATTCAGTTAGTGAATCTGAGACAAAAATAGTTTAAAGATTTAAAGGACAAGTATTTACTTTTGTGGTACTTGAAATCATGGGTCATTGTTTACATGAAAAACAAAACAAACAAACAAAAAAAACCAAACTCCATGTGTTCAAGTTGATTCCAACTCACAGTGACCTTACAGGACAGAGGAGAACTGCCCCATGGGGTTTCCAAGGAGCAGCTGGTGGATCTGAACTGCCAACCTTTTGGTTAGCAGACGAGCTCTTAATCATTGTACCACCAGAGCTATTGCTGAATTTGATATAATAACTTTAATTTGATAAATTACTTTAACATGCAATATAAATGAATCATTGAGTAGCTTTAACAACATTTACATATTTATAGATTTATTTATTGTTTGTTTTTGCTGGCAAGAATATTTGCTTGTTAATAGTCAGGACTAACCCCGAAATTCTAAGAAGCTGAATAGATGGAACTTTTATCATTCTAGGAGGTCAAGACCAACCTGATTTTTAATATTCCATCGGTTCCATGTCATAATTTCTCAGAATGTTCCTGAAGTATGTTTATACTTAAAAATGTGTTTGACATTTTCATTCTTAGCTTAAAGTTATGGCTGAAATATAACGTTATTACATGTCACTTCTCTACCTGCGAATATAAATGAAAGATTTAATAAAAATTATTTTTAAAACTTGATAAAGTATTTCCAAGGTAACAAGAAAAAAAAATGATGCGCAGAGGTTTTCAAATGAAGAAGATGCAATGCTCTGTAGACATGTGGCTGTTAGAAGGCCTTTACATAACTGAGGTGAAGGGATTGGAACAGTTTCCTTACCATGGTGCGTTACGTGACCTTCAATACCTGTACAGAGAATTGTACGTGAAAGAAGAGCAGTGTTTTACTTTAATGTTCAGTTTGTTTACGCTTCACTTCTATCGCATCTGTTTTAAAAGCAGGTAAAATTGGTTCAGTGAACGTGGTACTTTGAAGCTCACAGAAGGGTATTTCCTCTCCCATTTTGATGTGATCTGGCACATGGAAATATCCCACTGTGTTCTCCTGATACATAATAGCATAAACTACATGAATAATGTGCCTTTAAGATAATTTCGAATCATATCCTCCATCTGGGATTTTGTCTACTGAACACCCAGCAATTGATTATATGGAAACATATATTGTTAGATATTATGTAGGAAGAAAATGACGTATTTCATGTTCCACTTAATATCCAGCTGCCTAGGCATAATGTGAACTAAATATATAAACCAGCATAGAAACGGATGGGTCATAGCTAGGAATGTTGTCTCCACTGTAAGTTTACTTATAAAAAATGGTTTGAAACATTTTTGTACGTCATATTTACAATAAGTATGTTTATTGTAAGTATTTTTTTTTTTTTAAATACCTTCTCATTCTGCATAGTATTAAAATGGCATTTCTCTTTCGGGGTTCTTCACCCAGGGTTAGTGAGTTTCTCTTAAGAATTTGTGGATCTGCTGGTTATTTATTTTGGTGTTTTACCTAACATACACCTAACTCACAAAATGATTTCTTTTCAGCAGAGGAAAGTAACATAACAGAACAAAACAATAAATTGCCTGTCTTATTACTGTGCCTTTTGCCAAGTTTGGGGTGTAAAAGAAGATTCTGTGAAGCTGAAGCCTGAAGTTGTTGCAATAGCTAAAATCCATTCTTGTGACTGTGAATTCTGTTTTCTGTGGAACTGCAGCAAGATATTGTTCCAGTAATAGACCACAGAAAGAAACAAATCAAAACATTAAATTCATGAACTCCAAAGAACTTATGTTTAATTAGATATTTTTAAATAAACAATCAAAAAACCCAAAACCAAACAGAATGGAGGTAATGAGTCCCCTGTGCAGAAAATGCACATGCTACTTTCAGATCTAACAAAAAGCTGATGATGGAGATCTTAGAACAGGGTCAGAAAACTGAAACCCACAGGCAGCCTCCAGCCCACAGCCTATTGCTAGAAATGACATTTTATTGGAGCACACTCACACCCATTTGGTCTGGTACTTCCCTTGGGTGCTTTTGGGCTACAGAGGCAGAAATGAGTAGTTGCAACAGAGCTCTTAACGGCCCGTAACACCTGAAGTATATTTTCTCTGGTCCTTTGTAGGAAAAGTTTGCTGACCCCTTCCTTAGATGATTACTGATACCTTAAAATGAAGTTTAGAAAATATTGTCAGATCCCGACAAACATGCTCACACACACGCGTGCACACCCACACACACGCACATCAGCACAAGTAAAACTGGGGCAATCTGAATAAGACTGGTGATTCCATGCATGTCAGTGGTATTGGACCATAGGCTTGCTAGGTGTTACCATGGGCATAAATTGGATAAAGGGTACGTGGGATTCTTCTGTATTATTTCTTACAAGTGCACGTTAATCTCAATTATTCAAATTATCTCACTTATCTCAAAATTTAAAAAAAAGTTTACTTAAGAAGATACTGGAAAAATATTAGCATAACGTTAAAAAATAAGTTTAAAGTAAGTAGGATTTGCATTACTCATTACTTATTTGAACTATAAGTCCTGTTTGTTTTATATATTGAATTTATCAAATGTATGCTTGGCATTTACATGTACACTTGCTAAAAATAGATTATATTTATATAGTCATGTGTATCGATTAATTTTTAAATTAAGAATAGAGGCCAAGTTTAAAACATAGTTTAAAAAAAGTTGCCCTTGAGTCAACTCCAACCCATGGTGATTCCACTTGTGTCAGAGAAGAGCTGTGGTGTTCCACAGGGTTTCCAATGGTGGATTTTTCCTGGTAGATTGCCAGGATCTTCGTTCAGGTTCCCTTGGGGTGGCCCCAAACCTCCAAACTTTAGGCTAGCAGCTGAGTGTTTTAACCACGTGCACCACCCAGGCACTTCAAAACATAATACCTACGTTGATAACGATATCTATACCTATATCTATATCTACGTCTCTATATCTTCTAGTATTTGTTTTTTAAAATATTTAAACGTTCTGTAGTGTGCTCAGCAATTACTAATAGTGATTCTTAAATTAAAACCAGTATTTTTGAAGAATTTTCTTTAGTTATTTATGATTTGTGATACTATAAATAAGACACACAAAATACCCATGGATATATTTTTCTGATTTATTTCTATTCACATTTTTCGATAATGAAATAAATAGCTACAATAAAATATAGAATACTGTAGCATTGGTTTGCCAGCCACAAATACTTTGTGATGGTACTTCAGGCAACCTGGAACAGTCTATTTCTATTTAATGCCTACTTACAGATTTTTGGGATAAGACAGTTTTGCTTTACGTTATTCCCCTCCCCCAAAGAGTTTTCTAACCACAGCAATTCATCTTATCGGTAACAATAAATACAATTTCTTCTCCCCTGCCGGTAGGTGAGTCTGTCATAGACAAGAGTTTACCCACTCAGAGTATGGATGTAAGCCAGAGTGAGAAACTGAAGATATAACCTAAGCCAAAAAATGAATCGGGAATTAAACCTTTTGTGAGAAAGTCGATTGAACAGAAACTCTTGCCATTTACTGTGCTGTGAATAAAACTGCAGTAAAGAAATGTTCTGTGCATTTAAATGTCCATCAGAAACAATAACAACGTAGGCAACATGTTGTTATAGCTGTATGTGTGCTTTCTCAATGAGCTCTGACATGGTTTTCTTTCTCTTTTTTTGTATAATCTGGAGAGACGTTCCAGAAGTTCCTTTTATTTTTTTTCTTTAAATTGGTACTTTTAACTGTTTTTTTTTTTTTTTTAAATTGGTACTTTTAACTTTTTTTTTTTTTTCTTTAAGAAGGAACTTGCAGACCTTAGGCTAGAAAACTGGGCTGCCAATAGCACTTTAAAATATATCAGTAAATGTCATCGCTAATCTGTACTTGGAAGTTGCTTTTTTTTTTTTTAAAGGGCACGTTTGTAAAGCTTCTATTTTATATTTCAACAACCTTTTCTAACATTTCAGAAAAATAACAATCTGGGTAAATATACAATCTTGGAAAAATAAAACTACAGGTATTTTTGGTTTTTTTTTTGTTTTGTTTTAGTCAGTCTCACCCAATTGAAATGCCAGGTTGGTGGTGAAATGAGGACCTGGGTCATAGAGCAATGTACATTAACTCTTTCAAGCTCAGGAAGCTGACTGTCAGAGGATGGCAGCCCTAGTAGTATCTTGGGCGGTATTTATTTCAAACCACTTTCACAAATACTGTATTATTTATTTTTATAATAACAAACCAATGAACTATAGAGAAAGCAACAAGCCTACGGTTTAAAAATGGCCTGCCAGCATTCACATAAGAAGCTAATATTCAACTAGGAGGGAAACCAAGGGCTCCGGGCTCCTCTAGCGCTGCGTGTACGCTCCAAACGTCTCTGCCACAGTCTGCGGCGCTGTGACACCTTACTTCCCCACTGTGTCTTTTTTGTTTGTTTTGTTTTGCTTTACTTTTAACAGGAATTTCCATGTGAATATTTCATATCATTTAA